TACTGAAAACGTCCGAAAATATTTGTTTAACTCTTTCAACTACGACTATGTAAAAATGTTGGGTATAAAAGTTGCATCTGAGATCTAGAAAATTAAATGAAAGAAACAAAAGAGTTATTTTTTAATAGAATAATAGCTTGGGAAAAGATTCAGAATAGTTTCACCGTAGACAACTCAAGTCCAATCAGATCATGAGCCTCCTTTGTGATTTCATACACCACGAGCGATATGTTTAGACGACAATCAGACATTAATATGCATGCATAGTGCTATGTATGCACAGAGTTGTGTACATTGAATACGTGCATAACTTTAATCGTGCATAAGGCGTTATTCAAGATTAAGCGCGCATTTAGTCGACGAGTTATACATGCATAGCAATGCACAATCGTCTTAATCATGCATAAGAGCGTCGTATAAACATGCGGTGTTATATAAAAACAAGATAAGTAACATTTGTAAAAAAAAAAGCTGTTAATGTAATCCCTACGGGATGAAAATGTGAAACACGAACAATCCGTTCAAGTAGAAGGAAAATCGTCTACCACTGTACAACTGAAGGTCAACTTCATTCTTATCTGAAAGTACATGGATGAATCTGTTTAGTTAGTTTCCATACACAAGATCAAATGGTCATAGATGTAGAATGAGAGAAGCATCCTTTTCTCCTAAAATATTTGTCTGTTTAAAATCTATTTCTCACTGAATAGTTTTTGAAGCGAAATGGAAAAGGCGCCAAAATCATCAATCAAGAGAGAATAAGAAACCGAGAGTGGAATAGAAAAAAGGAACGTTAGCCATTTGATATTGATGCGTCAATCATAACTACCCGGTGCCAAAACTTAGTTTCTGAGATTTCTGTCGCGATCTGTGACGAAAAACGGCTGGTTCCTATGCTGTCTGTCCTTTCAGTTCGTGTTTCACAAAATATTTAAATCTATAAAAATTAATAAAAACCTGCCACTCTTGCCGCTTCTAAATTAATTCGTTCTTTTAATTCAGCTACAATATGAAAATTGATGGCATTTTGTCGTGGATTATTTCTAATTGCTAATATTGTTTTTATTATTCTAACATCAGGATTTTTTATTTCCGATGCCAGTATTATTATTGATCGTGCTTGATTAAGACTCAATTTATTTAAATCATTGATCTGAAATTAATAAAACATAATGTAATCATTTATTTATGATATTTAGATATAAACAATAAAATAGAAAATAAAACACAAAATTCTGTTCGACATTCATTATTACCCAAGAGACACAGCAAATAATCAGATGAGCATTATCCAAAAAAACAAGTTCGAATCAATTTTTTTCTAGTATTCGGTTAGAATTTTTGGAAAAAAACTGGTTTTTTAATTATTAGAGTACTTGGAAAATATTCTTTAAATGAATTTTTATAGTCTACACGATGAGTGAATAAGGGAGGGAAAATGGAAGGGCACGCTGCGGTCGCAATATTATTATTTTTTCATTGTCATACTATTAGCAAAAGGGAGAGACAAAAAGAAGAAGATTTGTCAAAAAAAAAAATAATTTTTTTGTATTTTTTTTTACCTACCGACGTTGGATCACCATTTCTATAAATAATTTTTGTATTTTTTGAATCATTTATTTTATTTTGAATTATATATTGAATTTCACTACGATTTTTTGATGTCAAAATAACAATTGAAGGATTACGTTGACTTTCATTTG